TATTTGTAATAGACATTGCTTTTGCTTCCTAATTTAGATTTTTTTTCCCACTTAGCTCTTTGCAGTGCATTATGGGTAGGGATGTAACGAAGCACCCGAGCTGGTTGAAAATCGACGATTCATATTAAACGATATTAAACGAATCGTGATACAATTGGCGGTAGGAGTTTATATAAATGTATCTCTAAAGGGAACTGACTGTCTTTAGAAAAGTTTAGATGTTTTTTTTTTCCTTTTCATCTGGTCTTTGTATAATGCATATTAAATCAGTGTTCATAAGTGCAGCTTTGTTTAGAGCGGTAACCAAGGAAACACTGCAGTGCATGTCGCCGCTATTCATGAGTGTGACTTTGTGTTTTCATTCAGCCCATCTGCTGTTTTTGTTTCGTGCAGGTATGTTTTATGTAGTATAGTTTCACAAAACTAAAGTCAGACCATTCTGTTTTTGCTATAAATTTTGAAATTATACAATCAAATGTAGATTAAAAGCTGCCCATGCTGCCAGTCCATTGTGATTAAATGGAGTGGTTGCCTCTAATTTTAAATGGAAAGAGCACAGACAAATCCTTAGTTTGTTTATATGAAGAGATTTCTTTTATTTGTGTTATGTTTTTGATTTGGGATTTATTTTAAAAATTCAAGTTAGTTTTGTTATTTGACATATTTCAGTTTCACAATGAAATGTGCAGCATTTTGTCCAAACAATAATAAAAGGAAACCTTTTAATTTATAATTTGTCCTAAATCTCATTTTGTAAAAAAAAAATTGTGAGAAAATCGAATCGTGAATCGTATCGCATCGTGACTTGAGTGAATCGTCGCATCCCTTAATTATGGGATTGCATTCTCCACAAAAGACATGTACTGTAAAACTATCTTTTTGTCTTTTGTCCATCTTGTGGAAAAGACATGGGTTAGGGTTAGGTGAGCACACCTATGATGCCTTAAAATCTGTTCATACAGGCAGCTCACTAGGTTTTGGAACAGAGCCAGTGTAAAGCCATCTTCTTGCCTAAACAGTCACCTGTTTATGATAACTATATTTTCTGCTTTTGAAATGGAATATTTTTTATTGTCCATGAAATAATTCTCTTTTCTTGTGTCAGAGCTGAACTTGTTGCGTAACGTGGATGCAAACAACTCTGAGAGCGGCGCAGCAACAAAGAGCTCCAGCCTCCTGAGCGGCTTCAGGGGCGCCTCCAGCTACAACCACGAAACCGAGACCATCTTTGCCCTTCCCAAAATGCAGCTCCAGTTCAAATCCATCCACGTACAAGACCCAGAGGAACCTTCTCTCAGTGGTACAGACATATAAACTGCACCAATTTAATATTTTAGTAGCCTCTGGCAGCTAAGGTTTATTCAGAAGGTGCTAGATAAGCTTGTATAGTCTGAAAGTGAGTGCGGGACCCTCGCTGACGCTGAGCTGTGTTGCAGATGCCAGCAGTAAGCCCAAAGTGGAGTGCAGTGTGGTGACCGAGTTCACCGATCACATCTGCGTCACCATGGATGCAGAGCTCATCATGTTCCTGCATGACCTGGTGTCGGCATACTTGAAAGAAAAGGAGAAAGGTGAGATCATGAAATCAAGAGTCACCCTATTTCCTTTCTTCATAAATGTCCCCTTTCACTGTAGTGAAGCGTGTCGCTCGTGTTCCAGCTCTCTTCGCGCCACGCATCTTAGCGTCTCGACCCGGTCAGAAGAGCCCCACGGCGCAGCAGGATGAGGCCTCGTCAGAAAAGAAGGAAAAGGAAGAGGGAGTGAACTACACTACAGTGGACTGGAGAGAGTTCCTCTGTAACACCTGGCATCTGGAGCCCACACTACGGTAACACTGCAGTCACATGACCTCAGTCCCTTCTGACCTCTCAAATCAAACACACCTAGGTGTTAATAGACAGTTGCAGAAGGTTCTGGGTGGTCGCTAGGCAGTTATTTCGATGTTCTGAATAGTTGCTGAGTTACTGTTAAAGAGTTGCAGTGGTGTTCCTGACTGGGTGCTAAGCGGTTGCTAGTGTGTTCTGGGTCGTTACTAGGACATTTCCAGGTGGTTGCTAGGATCTTCTGTCTGGTTGCTCAGGTTTTGCTATGTGGTATTTGAGGTTTTCTGAATGGATGGTTGGAAGCTGCTAGGGTGCTCTGGCTGGTTGATAGAAGTAGTTGCTAAAGCTTTTCTGTGGGATGCTAGGAAGTTGCTAAGGTGTTGTGGGTGGTTGCTAGGGCATTGCTTGGTGGTTATATGTGGTGTAATTGCTTTCTCCATACAAATACATACTTCACCATCATCGGCACAGTTCAAACTTTTCATGCATTTAATGTCAGTAATGAATTCATTTGACGTGTGATATGTTTCAGGTTGATCTCGTGGACGGGCCGTAAGATTGATCCTGTGGGGGTGGACTACATTTTGCAGAAGCTGGGATTCCACCATGCAAGGACTACAATTCCCAAGTGGCTGCAGAGGGGAGTGATGGACCCTCTGGATAAAGTTCTGTCCGTTCTCATTAAGAAACTTGGCATGGCCCTGCAGGACGAGAAAGAGAAGAAAGGGCAAAGAGACAAAGACGAGCATTAACTCAAAACACGTCAATGTATTAATACATTTCCGCTATCTGGAGCCATCCGTGTGAATTTCCTTTTTTTTGTTTTTTTTTACCTTGTCTGAAACCACTGGATTTATTGCAAACTACTGTACAGCATACACAAACACATTACAGTCATTGCTATACTGTGTGAACATTCATGTTTGCCTTGGTTCATATGGCCATAGCTCTTGGGTGACTGAAAGTGTTTTTTTTCTTTTGTTTTTTTATGTTTTAATTTTCAGATCATATAGACGTCAAGTAGCTGCTGTTGAATGCCATTTGGACTTTTAACATGAATTAAATGCACTTACACGTCACTGACACTAACAAATGAGCAGTGATCTTAAGCTACAGTGTACAGGTGTGCTCTTGAAATCAGTTTACATGAGTCCAGAGGAGTGTTCTTTCTCTGAGGTGACTATACCGCTGACTATTGCCAATCCGACTTTTTAAATAGTTTTAACATTTTAAGAGCAAACGATACAGGTAACCCCTGACCGGGTGGTAAAGTGTTCTTTCAGCCAGCAGAAGTGTGAACATCCCGAAGCCTAATTATTCCTTTGAGAGGGACCAAATTTTCTGATGCCTGGTTAACAACACATTTTAAGGGATGATATAGTGGAAATGCCTCAGATATTCCTGTGAATACATCAGAACCTCAGATTGCGCTGTGTAATGTGAATTGTTCTATAAAGCAAGGCTCTAACTTATAAAATGTAAATATCTTAAATGCATAAGCTGTTACCCATGTTAGGCCTGTGGTGATGTGTTTTTCCTTTTTTTTTCTCACACTTTTTTCGTATGTGCAATAGACCATTGTATATACAGAGGTAAATATGTTCAATGTGCTGATTTCTTAACTGAATAAAATCATTACTACTAAAATGAATGATACTTGCATGTGACTTTTTGTTCCACACATTGGTGGAAAACGAGATGAATCAGTTTTGTTCGTTGACTGCTGTGGAAATAGAAGGTTGCCTTACAGATTACAATATTCTGCAGCATACTCTACAAATGCAGAAAATGTTCACTCTTCACTGTATACATACTGCAGTAATAGGCTATGGTCAGAATACATTGTATACATTTTGCACTAAATGCATAAAATACCTGGATGACTACTACATTTCCCAATATCTGTAGTATACGAAAGAGCACACTGCACACATGCTGTATCCCATAGTGCAACGTGCTCCGTTTGCAGTGTTGTTATATTGTTAATAGAACTATACATTTTTTTTTTTTTTAAATAAAGCTTAAATATATATATAAAAATTGAAATAAACTAAAATGATAATAAAAGCTAATTCTAAATATTAAAAGAATACTACATTATACTAAAATAACTGTCCCCTAAACCTTCCATTTGTCATCAGTGTATTACATTTGCAGCTGTGATTTTAAACGCGATTTGTTATTTTAAGGTTTAGACAGTTAAATGCCATACATTACCAAAATGATACCTGGATGCCACATGCTGAATTAAACATGCAAAATAATAGTAAGCAGGATACAGCAAGTAATATGCTATTTGATTTTCAAACAGAGCGAAGTTGTAAAGTACAACAATGTACTACTACATTACAAATCCAAGCATAAACACTTCCTGGCGCACGTTCATGTTCAATAGTTTCAATTCAGTCCTTAAATGGATGATACAGATTCCTCAGAATAGAAATGGGGAACTAGTATGGAAATAGTATTGATCGTCATCAACTATTAGGTAAACTCAATTTAAAGTTATAAATGTTTCACAACTCTTCAATGATGCACTTGTTACATTAAAGCTGCAGTACGGAAGGGTTGGTGTAAAAGTGCAAGTTGTCGAGGAGGAATATTATTTTGGTAATTACATGATTTGTGTTTTGGCTCGGCTCTTTAGGATGGTTTGAGATGGATCATTATTATAAGCTTACCATTGTGAATCAGGGCATAAGGCAAGAGTGTTTAAACACAGTTTTAAACATTTTTTTAGCTTCAAACAAGGATGGGAATGAGATTAGATTGAAGATGACTGGAAAGACGACTGACATAGCTAAAGAAATCTACCCTTTCACGTTAAATGCACGAGTTTGGTTAAGCAAGTCCAGCACAAAGACCAAAAACAAACAAAACATCACATAACTGCTTTCAAAAGCTTTATTTCTTGTATCACAAGAAGCCCGTCATGATTTGCTTTTAAAACTCTGAATAGGTAGATTTAACATCCTAGCATTCTGATTACTCAAACGAGCTACAAAAATGAACAAAGCTTTATTTAAAAAAAAAAAAAAAAATTTGTGCTGCTCTATAGTTAAATGAACGGACTCTAATTCAAGGGCTACCCATAGTGTCTTATTTAAAGATACCACTTGTTAAAAACAAAAACAACAAGACTCCTGGCACCTGTTACTAACGATAAATCCAGTATTATTATAATTTCGGTCTTTCATATACATTTCCATATACATATCTACTGTTCAAAAAAAAAAAAAAAAAATCTATGCCAAGATTCATAAAGGTGTAAAAAGGTTTCAAGTTTGGCGTCCGTAATGCTGTTTATTTGAGGTGTTCGGTCTGTCGGCTCTGTCGGCTATTTGTCAGTGCATGCACACATTCGCACGCACACACACACACACACACACACACAAGTGGAATCTGAAGAGGCAGAGTGAGTGGAGGGGACCTGATTCGGAAGCTCTGAGGAGCTCTACAGTGTTAACACGCTTCCCTGATCAGACACGTACAGTGCTTTCAGCTTGGCAGAACAGTCACGCGACGTCAATATCACTGAATCATTTGGGGCAGGAGCTGAGTAGGGCGGGATTAGTTACAGGAAAGGCAGGGTCCATAGTTCAATATCCCACTACACATCTGCGGTCTTTCTGGACCTCTTCTTGAGAGGTTCTTTGCTGCTGGTTGTGGCCGTCGCTCTGCGCCTGTACTTGCGTGGTTTGGTGGATGAGGGTACTTCAGCGTTGTGCTCCACCGGGGTCTCCGCCTGAGGGTGGATATCAGAGTCTTCATGTTCCTGGCAGCAGAGCTGGCCCGTCAGCAGGTGCAACTGCAGCGCCCCCTCCTGGTGAGCCTTGCAAAAAGAGTTAGGGCACAGCTGGCAGAAAGCATCAGAGTTCTTTCCGCACACGTCACAGTGATGCCAGGGACAGTCCCAGCGACCTGGAAGACAACACAGAACACAAATGTAAAAGTAGTAAAACTGTTAAATTGTTATGTATCTATATATGCTATTCATATATTACATAACATTTTATGTAATTACAGCGTAATGGTTACCAAATGGTCTCTTGGTGCGGTCCAAGCAGGAAAGGTGATAGGCTTTGGTGCAGCCCTTCTTATCACACAGAACCAGCTCTCCTCCGTCACCGCAGCGGAAACACTCATCCTCAGACTTCTTTCCTTCATTCCGGGACTTTCTACGCTTGGGCTTTTTCTTCTGATGCTTGGCTTTGGGCTCAGAAGTTGGACCATTCTGAAGTTGGTGGGTGAAGAGAGCGTCAAGGTATTTTGATTTACTTCTGTATATCAATTATTACTTTTCACTTCCCGACTATAAGAACTGGATAACGTAGTTATGTATCAGAGGTTTTTATCCAAACCAACTTTTAGTACATGTATTACAAACTTAGTGTCAAGTGTTCTGATGAAGGGCACAATGGTGACAGCTCACACTTTACAAGGCTCATTCTGAATAGCAGGCATGAGCTTTAACCACTACACCACACCAGCAAGACATCAGTAATGTCAAAGGCAGCTGAAATTAAAGGTATTACAGTCACTCACCTTGGGTCTGTCACCTAGGAAACCACTGCAGTTGGGCGCTCCACAGCGGCACACAGTCTTTTCATTCCCAAGACAGTCCAGGTTATAGTTAAAAGTCAGCTCAGTGCCTGAAAACATTGTCACGTGGGAAAAACTGATTTGGCAACTTGAAAGTTGTTGATTTGATAACAAATAAACAAATAAATAAATATAAATAAATAAATATCAAAATCAGGCTGGGGCAATAGTGAAATTTAGTATAGTTAATTTACAATAATAATAAAGCATTTTTACCATTTTGTATTTGCTCTGAATTTGCTTAAATTAGTGTTTTTATTAATAAACAGAAGTCATTATTTCAACAAATTTTCTAAGCTGATTTTTCTAAGCAGTGTTTAATATAAGTACAATACACTAACTACAAAAAACCCACAATAATTCCCTAATTTCGAACAAAAATGTATTAAATAAATAAATATACCGGTACATAAAATAAATAAATAGAAATCACACAAATTAGGCTAGGGTGATAGCTAAGAAATGTAGTATATTTAATTCATAAAATATTAATATTTTGCAGCCAAGGATAAAAAATATCACCCTTAAGTAATTTCAGAGGAACAATTATTTGAATAAACTTTGCAATGCAGATTCTAAATGTTTAATACAAGCGTTTAATAAAATAAAGTCAATATATCACCCAGCCTTACTCAAAAAGCCATCAGATTTCTATATTTTCAGAGCATGAACTCACCAGAAGGGATGTCACAGACAGCAAACAGGCCCACGCGTGTGTCTCCATTAACCGTCCATTTCTGAGTCTCACAGTTGGGCTGGCAGCTGTGGTTCATGAAGCGAGAGTAGTTCCCTTTAGGTCCCGCATCTATAATCCGATCCTGTGCACACACAAATGGAATATTGTACATGATGAAGGTAGAAATGGTCACAAACCTTTAAGCTGTTATCTATGGGATGATCTGTAGTGTTGTGACCTGTAATGCCACCTAAGGCTGTTCAGTGTCATTCCCAATACAACACCGTTTCTCTGGCTCTGCTGTACAGGGTCCAAATTTGCCATCATCAGACATGAACCCAGCACAGGAGGAGCAGTCTGGGCTTGCACACACATGGCGCCTTCATTTACCTTGTCAATAGTGAGCATATAGAAATGTGTGATGTTATTCTCCTGAGCATATTTGATTCTGGCTCTGCACTCCTCCTCGTCTATCAGTTCACCCACATATTCATTCACAAACTCTCCCTGAGTGACACACAAAAGAGCCGATCAGCAATCACATACAGTAAATCACTTTTGTTAAATGTTGAAAAGCCAGCGCACTTACTTTCTTAATGTCTCTCAATGACACCAGGCCCCAGCCTTTGCCTGCCGTGCGGATGATCTTGGTCTCTGGGTAGTGGCGTTTGGTGAAGTCCTGGTTTTGGCAGCGCTCTCCAGCCGGACACACTTGAGGATGGCACTCGTACAACAGCATACGGTTCAGACACTCAGACTCGAAGCTGCAGGGACGCTCGTCTGATGGCTTACAGTTACACTTGGGGATCTCAGAGATGTCTGCGGTGTACACCTGCACTCGCCCACAAGGCTTATTCACCTAATAAAAAAAAAAAGGGAAATCTATTAAAAACTCTATAAACAGACTTGCCACATTAATGAAATAAAAAGTTACTACAGAAAAAATGTTCATGGTCTGGAAAATGCACTTTCAAATTCACGGATATTTCCAGGTTTTCCAAGATCTGAGAATCTTGTATAAATACCTTGATGTATTTGTATGGAGGAGGTTTCTTATTGTTCTCTTGAGCCTCTTTGGCCTCCCTCTCCATCTCGATCTCCTTAAAGCGAGCTTCAGCCTCCAGCAGTGCTGCACAGATAAATACAGAGGAAGCCATTTCACAAATGCACTGACAATACTGATATACAAATAATAAAACAAAACGAGGAATTATTATCATTTTTTTTTTTACCATTTTTAAAGACCTTTCCAATGCCATTATGCTGGTATTTGCTCCCCCTGTCTCCCTCCATGTAAGGAAAGACTCTGCCCTGGTGTGTCCAGAAATAGTCTTTAGAGCCAAAGAAGAACACGGGGAACTCTCCGATCTCATGACGGAGGTGCTGGATGTTGGTCGGGATGTTCTTAGGGTGACGTATCTCTGCAGGCCACCATCTAGAATTTAAAATGAGGTTAACGGTTATGACAAGGAAATTACCTTTGCAATAATGTAGTTTACAGTCATTTTAATTACATTTTCTTAAGAAAATGTTAGTGGAGCTCGTCTGTGCAAAATACTGGTCAACATATCAAGGCCAATATATCATCTGATATATTGCCCCCCCCAAATTGTTAGTCATGGAATCCCTGATGTCGGCCCCGCTGCAATTGGAGTGCTTAGCTAAGCGTTAATACCCTCAATGTGTTTTTGCACCATTGAGCAATGTAACCAATCACAGACATATCTGCTGATTTCTTGAACGCAATGGCCAATCAGAACGTTTTGTCAGAATTCACTCACCGCTGAAAGCGCCCCAGTTTGTAAGTGCAGTTATGCACGCTGCCCTCCCCTTCTCTATCACCTAGTGGTTGTAATTACATCAGCAGATTCGCCACATTCGTGATAGAAAAGCGGCGCTTTCACGTTATGGTATTACAACTGTGAAATTACAAACAAAACATACACATTTTGAGACATGAACTGAAATTAACTGAATTTTATTTACATTAAATCGTCCTCCTCCCATTTTCACCTCAAAATTATGGGGAAGCTGTGCCTCCCCTGACGAGCCACCACTGTTGATTATAACGGAACTGTGTAAGATCGCGATGAGCGAAGATGACTGACGCTTTTTAGTGATAAAGGGGAGCGCGCTTTGCGCACATTCTAGGGTATAATCCATTCAGAATTTGTATGAAACTTTCGTTTTTCAGACATATAGGCTACGCCCTGCAAAGTTTCGGGAATGACATCCGCATATTTTTGCGGGATTCACTCTCGAAATTGCAGTGATTGGCAATGGACGGAACATAAAATATGTTGATTTAATTCTGGAACCGGTCCTGGCCAAACCTCCACAGACAGCGCGCGTCCCGAGTGAGATCTAATTCACAGATCAAAAGCGTGTGTTAACTTTACTGAGATCGGGACATATCAACCAGTAATTTAATTTCATTTCCAGTAACAGACGGTAAAAAGTTCAGCAATGAATGGTATGCGATTTATGACAGAATATAGTCCCCCAACTGATCGTTTATTTTTTCCTCACGTGTCTCGCCTTTGGTAACAACGATTCAAAAACGGAAACATTTCAAGTGACACGGGAAAAAGACA